AGTTATTGAGAGCAGAGGTGATAGTATGCATGTTCTACCCTACAATCCAACACAGAATGGTAATTCAATAATTGCTTGCTAGATAAAAGAATGAGGTCTATAATTAAGTCTCAGTTTTCCCCATGTATTTTCAGAGTCATTCTGGAAGTTTTTCTGCAATGAGAAATGCACTCCCTAAAATTGTACACATCTATATAGAAAGTAAATAATTTGTGAGGTTTGGTTCTTGGTAATAAATATAATATGAACAAAGGAAGCTCACAAATGCACAACCATCAGTTAAGCTTATCTTTTATTTCCTTGAAAACAAACAAAATGCTACCTTTTGTCTAACCTGACTTCCTCTTAGTATATCTTCAAAGAATAAAAGTTCTGAGCTAAGACAAATCAATTGCTAGACTATTATATAAAATTTTTAATTCACTATAGTTTTCTAATACTCTCAATAAAAATTAGAGGAGTTTCCTTATTTAAAACTTTTAATTTTTCTTCTACTTTTTTGGAGATTAATATTAGTATATTCTCAAAGAACAAAATAAAGAAACAGAAGAGCCAAGGGAAGAAATCCTACCAAATGTGTCCTCATGCTGTCTTCCTTTTCTCCAAATAACCCTCAATTAGACTCCCTTTCATCACTCAGATGTTGAATATGATCAAGCCTGTATCTACCTCTTAGAATTGAAGTTCAATGCCTAACATGAAGTTTGTTTGTTCATTTGCTATTCCTTTGGTATTGAAAGTATAATTTTTTTAAAGAAATGTGTGCAATGCCCACTAGCTTCCTGATCCCTGTGATTCCTCTGTAAGAAACTGATGACAAGCAGCCATAGGGCTTCCTGTGTGGATGGAATCAGCCTACGTGTCCTCCACAGCCAGAAACCACAACACTAACTTTTTCTTTATTTTTATGACTGAAATATAGAAAGTCCCCAAATCTTTGAATTACAAAGTACAGGACAGAGGGACTTCCTGTTTCTCAGGAAGAACACAACAGTGGTCAACTTGCTTAGCTCTGTAAATTTTAATCCCAATGTTACAAAAAGGAGGTTATCACTAATACAAGAAGGACCATCCTGTAGTTTGAAGTCCTTTCTACAGACATCACTCACAGAGAGGCAACAAAGAAGCACCTCATAAATAGAGCCTCTTATTGAAACCTAGGAAACAGGAAGCAAGGCCTGGGAATTATTTTCCCCTATCTCTTCAGAGCTGTCTCAGAGAAAGGTGGAAGGTTCTTCCAAATGTGGGCTTCATAAAAACTTGGGCATGTAATAAATTGGTTATAAAGAAGCACACAGTGACCCCAGTAGATATTATTTCCTTTGATCTTTGTGCTGAGGATTTAGGGCCTGCAGAGACAAGAGGCTTTTTTTTTTCCATTGGCCATTTTAGTATTCATGTCTCCTGTACTGCTTTCTAATAAGTTAAGAATGAAACGGGAGACTGCATGCAGGAGTGAGAAATGTAAGAAAAGCAGTACTGTAAAATAAAAATGAAGGAAAGTGCATCTCAACTTCCCTTTTATTATTAACAAGCAAGAGAACAACAATGCCCAATTTTATTGTTATTACCAAACACTTCACATTGACAAAAGGGCTTTATAGTCATTTTTACATGTTATTTTTCAATACCTTTTCCAATAGAGGCTGGAGAGCTCTGTCACTATTCTTAGAGATCAATTCTATAATCTTATATTAACCAATTCTTCCAAAATGGAAGCTCGGAGGCAGTCTGTGCCAGGGTGTTACCCCAGCCATCTTATGCTCCCTGTTCTGTCTGGGTGGATGAAGCCATGGTTTGGCTGATTCTTTGGACTGCGTTTCTTTATGCTACACACATCCACTTTCCCCCCTCTCCTGTATGCTTACTTTACTCAGTTTATTACTTCTTTTATTTTTGTACTGGGAATTGAACTCAGGACCTTGCATTTGCCAGGCAGGCACTTATGCCACTGAGCTACCTCCCTGGCCTTAGCTTATTGCTTCTTAAGTGTGACCCTCATGTAGCAATTCAAAATCCTTCAAATTCTTCTTGTTTAGAGGCAGGTATAAACAGTGGGACTCCAGGCATTGTTCCTGAAGGTTTTCCTGGGAGTGGTATTCCTTGAGGGGAATCTGCCAGACACAGAGAAATGTTTGTTGGAGCTGAACATGCAAAGGATGCTGAGGTCAGCAGCTCTAGGAGACCGCAGTTCTAAAGGCTTGTGAGTTCACTTATTAGTCTGTATGAAGACATTCAATAAATGAGCAGATTCCACGCAAGGAGCCTGCCTCCTACCTTGGCCCTTACCATCAAGAATGACAGTGGGTTCTGTATTCCATACTTTTCATCAAGTTTAGGGCCAAGTTAGACATTTTCATGTTCTGCTAAGAAACATTTCTTTATCTCTTATTACACACACCAAACAGAATAGAAATACATCAGTTGCAATTTATTCAAATTTGGCCAAGGAGAATACCCTAATTAAAAAATATATATATAAACCACCAACAAAAATGTATCCAATTCTTTACAAAAAATAAAAAAATGTCTCATTTGGGCTGAGTAATTATAATATTATAGGAAATAAACTCAATCTTTTAAAGGTTCAAGTTGCAGTGAAGTGAAAACTGTACACAGAGTAGATATACCTTAAAGCTTTGAGTTGGTCTCAGTGTAGAAGTATGGTTCTGGGTCTTTAAATATGTTCCTATTATATGAACTTTTCTACATTTATATATTAATTTCTGTGTTTGTAGTTGAGTGAGTTCATGTAGGTGAGTTGAGTTAATGGATACCCATATAGTTTTACTTCTTGGCCTGTAGGTTACTACATCTGATGTATGAGAACTGGAAGATAGGTCTACTCTGGAGCAATGTGGGTTAAAATGTCAGTTGTCACAATGTTATTCTTTTACTCTCTGCAGGGAGAGTTGGTGTTGACTAAGGCTTCTGAAGTGTAAAGACACAGTCCTAGTGCTAATGTTGGTGGTTGTGTCACAGTAATAGCAGCAATGCGGAGAGTAGCTGAGTGCGTGTTGTAGGTGCAAATGTCTCACAAAACAGAGGAACTGTGAGTCAGATATTTATATGACCTGTTCAAAGTTAGAGATTTGGTTACAAACCAGGATTTTAAGTTCATGCTTTCTTACTGTCTTCTTCTGAGTAGGGATTTAAATCAGGCAATGTGAAACTTTTCATTGGGTGACTGCATGGCCCTGCCGCTTACCATTGTCCTGGCATAACTAGCAGACCCCCTTTCATGCTCAGCAGTGTCTCAGTGTGGGCTTATTGCCCCAAATCAGTTTGATGGTCAATACATTTCTGAGTAAGGTTTAAAATAGACAAAAGACTTTCTGTAGGAATCGATCACAATGCTTTAATCAATTTTTTTTTGCTGCTTTGTTAGAGGGCTACAAATAAGTAGGAGTTAGGAAAGTTAGGAAATAGCTTGATATATTTGGAAAAACAAGTGTGTCTGTAAATATATGATATTTATTAGCTGGGTCTAATATTTGTTGTCACTTATGCTCTGATTTTCTGTTTGTTCTCTCCCTCTCTCTGTCTCTGTCTGTCTGTCTGTCTGTCTGTCTGTCTGTCTGTCTGTCAATCTGTCTGTCTGTCTTTCTCTCTCTCTGGAAGAAACTTTTATCCTTTTTCTCACATGTCATGCTGCATAGGCTTTCTCTATTGACCAAATGTCAAATAATTAATTATTTGGTCTTATTTTAGCTTCGGTTTTTGACACATTTTTAAAATATGGCTTGACTATTCACTCAGATGCCTAAGCCATCATTAATGGTATTTTCATCCACAAGAATAAAAACTTTTTTGTCTTTCTTCCTTCTTAATCTTGCTGTTACTATTCTCTTACTCCTTTACTACAGCTGCCGCATAGTGGCACCCAGGGAGCGCTTGCACGGCAGCGCCTGGGCAGTGCTAGCACAGGTTTTGCTGGGGAAGCCAGCTCTAAAATGTGTTATTTCAAGCTCTACCTCACATGCCTTTGTTCCTCTTCTGCTGTTATGGGCAAACTCTTGTCTTGTTTCTATTATTTCAAAAGCCTTTCAAGAAGAGTGAAGGAAATGATTTTTAAAAACAATCTGGCAAAATATATAACTGCTTATAAAAGACACATATGCCAAGAAAATCTAACTTTCACTTTTGTTGGTTTTAAATGTATGGCTTTGATTTATGGATCAAAATTTCTCATTTATTATTTTATCTATACTGCTCTGGGCAATTTTGACAGTTAAAATTTAGTTTTATTGACCAGTGCAGCCACTGTGCCCACAAGGGGACTGGTGCACACAGCCTGCTGCATTCAAGAAACGATGATTTTTGATTCCATGACTGAGTCAGATTGGGAATCATAACCGATGTAACAATAAGTTCCAAATCTCAATGCCCAAGGCAAGAGGTTTGCTGTAAAACACAATCAGGCTGTAAGGCGGGGAGGAGGAGACTCTCGGCTAAAGTTTGCAAGCACAATTTAATGCAGCTGGGACAGCGGTGCACATATTCATCCCAGCTGGGCGACAATCTGAGGGGCATTTCAATAAGACCCAGTCCTACCAAGTAAAGATTAATGAGCAAAATGCCTAAGAAGCACAATGGGTGTTAGCTTCACAGACAATGAGCTAAACAACTATTTTAATTTGAGCAAACTTACTAATGCTATTAACCAACATTTCATTCTTCAATCAACAACAAAATCTAACGAAAGCATATTTAGGAGAAGAGCTCCCCCTCTCCCTCTTCCCATCCATTCCAACACACATGGACACAAGAACCAGTACAGTGATTTTAGGCAATTTTAATTTAGGCCTATTTGACTACGAAATTGGCCACCTCTGCAATGTTAATTTAGTCCTTTACTCCAAATCCCCAGTGATACATAAACAAACCTCCTAAGGGTAACAAATCAATAAAATGTCTAATTTGATTAAACATGTTTTAAAATTCATCAAAACAGCTCCAACCTAAAATAAATAGGTGAGTAAGTAAGTAAGTACACTCACTTGTGAGTATTTTCCACGTCTTCTTTTCATCGTCATAATATTGAACCAAATTGCTGGGGAGCCGGTCTGGTCCAGGAGGCAACCCTCCAACCAATAACAGCATTTTCTTGTTAGAGCGAATTCTTCACCCAAAACAAAAGAGGAGATGAATAACCACATTAGTATAGAGTCTTTTTAGTGACAACGAAATCATAGCCATCAAAAATGTTCCTTGCTTGCAGATTTCTATTTCATTTTTTCCTGTTTCTTCTCCCATTCATGTCTCAACAATTTTTTTTTGAACCAAGCAGAAAAATGATCAGAAGAGCTGCATATCTTTATACTCATGGAATAATAAGCTTCCCTTTATGCAATTTGTTAGAGGTTCATTCTAGAACGACCTTTTTCTTATATTATCCCTTTAAATCATCACTCTTTACAGCTGAGTACACATGAAATGCTCTGGAGTTGTACTAAGGTTAAGCATTAAAGTTGCATGTCAAAAATCGTATTAGTCAAAATCATTATTATAAGCCATTCTCCACTCAAAGAACCTTGAAAAAATTAAGGTTATGCAGAGAGTTTGTGAGCCAACTCTTTAATCATGCAGGGAACTTCAAATACCAGTTTGGTACAATTAGTAGCACAGGGCTAACTGGGGTGGGCTAACCAGTTTGAACATGAATTTTTTTTTTGTTTGTTGAATTTAGCTTAGACTTCTGGCTCGCTCCCCTGCCCCGCGCTCCCAGCTCACCCTCCCCTTTGCCCTCCCCCTGTGCACCCCTGGCAATACAGCAGCACCAATTGGTAAAAATGAGCCTGGGATGTTGCTGTGAGCCTCCCCAGAGTGGAGCCCTGCCAATGCTTGCCACTGATCCAGCGGCATGAACCTGCTCAGCTGTGCAAAGTCACTCTAATTCCCTCCCTCTGTTTTTCTACCTTCTCCCCCAGGGGGCAACCACTGAAAGGAGTGACTACCCACCCATCAAGAGCTGGCAATTCGCTGCTATTAACCGTGACTGTGATTCCCAGTCTGCCTGGCAGTTCCTGAGAACAGGCCTGCAACGTCTCATATGCAGTAAAAGCTGTGAGATGTACCCTGGCCAGCAAGGCGACCTGATGGATGGATGTACAATGCTTGGGAACAGCGACCAACTGAGCACACATGCTACTGAAACAGGGAGAGGAGCCCAAGCCCCCACAAGGGCCTGCTGGTTTGACAATCCCTTTACATATAATTGAGCTTTTCATTTACCTGGAAGGCTCAAGGTGGTGGTGACAGAAATGGGACGACCATGATGGAAAGAAAAAAGTCAATACATTGAAAACAGTTCCTCTTACATATGATCACAACCCACAACGTGGCTCTGAATCTGTTATCACCTATTCAACCCGTTCGGATTCAAGGATGTTTGGCAAAACAAGCCATGTGCAAAGGCAATCTTTGTTGGTTAAGAGCCTAACATTCAGAGAGGTAACAAAATAGCCGGTGATATTTCCCTGTCAAGGAAGGGAATTATGAGAACTCCTTTCATGAAACTCTGGTGTTGTTGAATGCATTGCGTGTGTAACTCCAGAGAAAAAAATACCTTCTGGAGAAATGTCTGTGTTCTTGACTCACCCATAGAGGGAGCTGTACTTATAGAAGAATGACAATGCAATAGCAGCCTGCTACCTTATTTTTGTCACCTTGTACATATATATAGTTGGGCAAGAAGAGAAACAAACAAATTCACCTTCTTCAAACTTAATGTGCCCATGAGCTATTTATATTTTACAGATCACTAGTAGGTAAGGAAAAACAGAATAAGACAGCAAAGAATCCCATATATTGAAGATTTCAGTAGCTGGAATGGATTTGTGAAAAGGATTACGGAAAATCAGAGCAATAAGCATCTCTTTTATATTTGGATATCACACACACACAATTCATGTGCCATATAATGTCATAATTGCATGGTCACAGAACTGATACATGGTTGTTTCTTTACTGTAGCTTTTAATCCAAATAATGACTCTCTGTGTGTAAGAGAATTAAAAATGAAAGCAAATAGTCTTTTATTTATTTATTTGTTTTTGTATTTTAGGGAAGGATCTACAGGGTACTGAGGGTCTCACTACTAGATTGGACTCATAGTGATCTGCCTGTTTACAGCCTCCCAAGAGCTGGGACGACAGGCACGCGCCACCACGCCCAGGCTCAATTGCCATCTCAGCGCACTGTAGGGGCGGGCCGGCACAGCAGACCCGGGGAACGAGCCCCTGGCTCCTGCTCCTGTTTGCAGGCGCTTTAATTGCTGAGCTATTTGGCCAGCCCTCAAACAGTCTTTTTTAGGTTGCAATAAGTTACCAGGAGTAGCCAGACCTGTCCAGCTCCAAGTCAGGATTCTGTGGCGGTCCTGACATCACGCGGACTCACGCTGCCAGACTGTGTGGAAATGGATAGAGTACCACTGGCTGCGTGGAAGTGGATAGAGTACCACTGACAGGACAGGCAAGAGCTCAGGGAGGTGGTGCTGGTGGTAGAAGCAATACAGTGAAATGTCTGCTTTAACTGATAAATATACTGCTGTAAAACTTATCTAAGGAGTCCCAAATGAAGATAAACACACGACCCAGATAAGATCAGCTTTCCCAGTCTCACCAACCTCACCGAACTCGTAGTGATCCACCTGTTTACAGCCTCCCAAGAGCTGGGATGACAGGCGTGCGCCACCACGCCCAGGCTCAATTGCCATCTCAGCGCATCCTGGGGGCGGGGCCGGCACAGTGGGCCCCTTCACCTGCTTGCAGGTGCTTATATCCGCTGAGCTATTTGGCCAGCCTTTTTTTTTTTTTTTTTTTTATTCGCCAATTCTAAATGAAGCATAAGCTCTATGCTGTGAGGGTGAACAACATACCAGCCAAAAATAAGTGTGTGAGAAGTTGTGTGATACAGAACAAAGACCACATGAGGCAGCAGAACACATCTGACTTTTTCTCACCATTTTCTCCTTTGACTTTCAAAACAGGCCAGTATGGCAGGTCTAACTATGTATTTTATAGAAGAGTGAGAGTTCCCACATATAAGGGAATATACATTTGGGCCTTACATAAAACTAAGAAACTGGGCTGGTCAGATAGCTCAGCAGATTAAAGTTCCTACTTAGGCAGACACAAGGGCTGGCGGTTTGATCCCTGGCCTGCCTTGTGGGCCCTGCTCCCGGGGCACGCTGAGAGGCCGATAGAGACTGGGCGTAGCAGGATGTGCCTGTAATCCCAGGGCTTGGGAGGCTGAAAACAGGACGATCACTAGAGTTCTATCTGTGTAGTGAGACCCTGTACTAAATACATGAAAAAAAATAAAAATAAAACTAAGAAACTTTCTGCATCCACATAAAGGGACTTATTGCTAAAGAATAATACAAACGAGAAAAATGTTTGCATATTTTACTTTGATAAAAATGCAGTGTCAACTTTTCAATTACTCTTAGAAAGTAATACATGTGAATAATTCCTGTGGCAAAGCTTTCAGTTTTTTATTATGTGCAATTATAATAGAGACCATGACAATAATGACAGATAATAATGAATGTGCATTGGATATCGAACCCCTGATTATCATGCCATTTATTTGATGTGTATGAACTTCAATTTAAAAATACCATGAAGCAAAGATACCTTGTGAATTAGAAAAATAAAATTAAGGGAATCTAAACTAACTGTGTGGAAGGGGTTTTCAGCTATTCTTTTCAAAAGAATTCCAGCAGAGTTTTACAGGTTTAATTTTAAATTACACAATAATCTACAAGTGTAGCTTTCCTGTGATAAATAGAGCTTCTTCATATAATGATATGATACATTATTTAGAAGTCCTTTATATTGGAAACCTGTTTAATCAAAGTTAATATGTTCACTTGGTAACATTTATTATTCTTAAAATAGTCCTTATATTTCTTTCTTCAGCAGCATTAGGATGGAAGTAATGTATTTAAAAGATAAGAATATAGAGACTAAAATAAATAAAGGATTTGGTGTGTCGTAATAGATAACATTACTTGGATGCTTTTAAATTGAATCTCTAGATTACTACCTCCCAAAATGCAAGGTGATGGAACTTGAAGGTCTCCTCTGTTCCATCTCAGTAATTGCCCACCATTTACCAAGTGTCACATCTGGATGTGTGGGTACATGTGTGCTCACGTGCATACCTACTTTGGTTCTGGGGATGAATGATTGAAAGATGACCTCAAACCTTCAGGTGTAAACAAATTTTTCATCACACTCACATTCTAAGTAGGGCAAAGCCTCATTTATTTGTACTTCAGTGATTTGGAACTGTAATAATTGGGAAATAGGCCAGATAAAGTTACCCTTCCCATGATACATGAGAAAAGTTTTCATTTAATAGATTGCAAGAAGGGTTTTACCATCTTGAAGAAATAAACTGGTTTGCAGGCATTTTGGAAATATGTGTGCCTTTAGACACAATTCATTTAGGGACTCTAAATGAGTTTCATTTATTTATAAGAGGAAATATTCTGCAATGTTCTAAGAATTAAGTCATGCAGTTGGAAACAAATTTTGAGACAATCTGGTTCAGTGATTTCCAGCTTTGGCAACTTACTAGGATCATCTGAGAGAATTAAAACTTTGGATTCTTGATGGAGATCTCAGTTCTTAACGCTGAGATATTGTGATTCAATGGGAGAAAGCCTTTAAAAAATCAATCTATTCTACAACCTTCAAGATAGTTCTAACATACAGACAGAGTTGGGGCCACTGACTTGGTCCAATTCTCCCCATACTGTAGAAATCCTTTTCATATTTTTATTAAGCAATCGTTCTTACCTATTTAGAAGTGTATAACATAATGGATCTCAGTTTTCTAAATATACTCTTTTTCTGAACGTGGTTGGACACTTGTGCAAGATATATATGTTTCTCCATGCTCACTTGCATAACCCACTTAGGCCTTCTAGAGAAAAAAACCTGCATAGCTGTGGTAGTGAACCTATGGCTCATGTGTTATTCTGTTTTTCTTTTAGGTCGAAAGATGTTAATTCATAAGTTAGTTCATTTTAAGCTAAAACTTCAGTATTCAGGTTTAATTTCAGTGTTGGCAATTAAATGCCAAAACTCAATAAATGAGTTTTGGGTTGTA